GCAGGGGCTGCAGACTGCATTGTGCAATCCCTTATGCCAAGTAGAATGAAGTCGAAGACACCACTGCAGCTGTACTTATGGTTGATAAATATGGTGGTAAAGACACACCTGGCAATATCGGGCGGTAACCACACGCCTGCCCACACACGCTCTCTAGGCTGCAAAGTTCTAAGCGTCGGATTTCACTTGCCATAACTGTAGAAGAAATCACATGGATACGAGTTATGAAGCAACAATCCGCGACTGTATGAAGGTAAAAAGCAGCCATTAATTGCGACAAGAGGGCACAGAACTGACAGGCTACTAAGACATTCAACGACCTGAGACCTAGTGGATAGTTGCTTCATAACTCGTTTCCATGTGATTTTTTCTATGTAAATTATATTTATTGGCTCAGTATCCGAGTTAAATTCGCACTATAGGTAGAGGATATTATCAGATAAGTCTTTGCAGTGTATGTGATGTGGTTCCAGTGTACTATCATTGGCTGTCATTCTTTTATTGTGGGGATTTCATGCAGGCTTGGCCTATTGGATCGGGGGGGGGGGGGGGATACGAAATAGTGAAGGTGTGCATGCAATAGGAGATGCTTGAACTACCTGTAAAAATCCTCTACACTGTACACTTTCAGGTTGTGCGTGCTTCCCCTAGCTGCATCTCATGTTTGCCATTTAAGTGGTATTTGTAAAAAATAAATAAATATAAAATACTGGTATTTTCGCTTGAAACGTCTTTCAGGTTGATTTTTTCGTGTTGCTGCACCTTTCCACCTCCACCACAATATTGGGCAAGCCTTCCCGCCTGGTTTGCCATGTTACGTAAAAACAAACAAGAAAAAAACGCGCAGCCAAGATTCCCGCAAGTCAGGGTACGCTGGTGACATACTGCATCACAGCTTCATACGGCCAGTTCTGCGGTATGCCTGGCTCACATGGATGGGCGAAGCACCATGCAACCTCACTCTCATTGACAGCGTCCCGCATGGAGTCCGCTGCATCACTGGGCCAGCAGCCTTGCTGCAAAGCTTGGCTGCCCGGAGAATGGAGTATGCGCTTGCGTGCCTTTGTAGCGGGCCGCAGTCTCTCGGAGGCAAGAACGCACAAGGGTCTCAGTGAACACACTGTAATTGGCAATTGAAATGTACTGGCAACGGAATTAACTGATTGGCCATGAAGAATCGTGAGCAGCAGCTTTGATACAAAGGCAGACTCCGTACGCTAATGTACGGGGATACGCTAACGTATGGGGATACAGTACGGGGATATGCTATACTCTAAACACTAAACACTATACGCTTTGAAGTCACCAGCGTGCCAACGCTACACCTGCCCTCTCAAATACAATCACGTCCTCGTGATTCGAATACTACATGTAGGTGATAGCTGGACATCAACAAATGGCTGCTATTTAGAAAAAAACTGGCGGCATGCATGGTCGCGTCGGAATAAACTCGACGATAAGAGATAGTCAGAATGGATGGTTGACTTGAGTAATATAATACAGGTATGGAGTCATGAACATTATAGTAGATCGCGAATTACTGGGAGAGCGTCAACCGGAGTATGGCAAATAGTATCAGAAATGATAACGTTTGGAATAGACAGAAGAATGAACTGGTAAACAAATCATAAAGTAGAAGCACACCAGGTTCACACGATCTCACGGGGTCAAAAGGGGAAAGAACTGTCCTCCAAGTAGGACCTGAAAACCACAGCACTCTTGCTGCACAACACCGGCACAACCCGCCAGGAACATCGCAGTTCAAAAACCGAACTGAATACACTATGCTATATAATTATCACTATTCACTATACGGGGCATTGTCACACACATTGCCCCAGGTTAGCTGGGTAAACCGTGGCTCACCATGATCGGACGCCTACCAAACTAAACTGGATTCACACACTCGCATAAAGGAAGACTGAAGAGAATAGGAAGACTGAAGGGAGACAGGAAAGAAAATGCCATACCTGGAATCAGCATCAGTAACCACAGCGGCGGCTGGAGCTACGTCGGAGGGCGAGCCAGGTTTCATCTTGGTTGAGCCGGTCACTCAGAGCGGCTAGCTCGGTGTCGGACAGATCACCCCCTCCTCGTCTTGAATCGTGGTCTTCACATTGTCGATAGCATCGCTTGGCGCGACGTAAAGAGTGATGGTCTAGCCAGGAAGAGTGTTGACGAAATTCTGCATTCCACCACGGAGACGAAGTACCAAGTGAATAGTGGACTCCTGCTGAACGTTGTAGTCACTCAGTGTTCGGCTGTCTGCCAACTGCGTGCCGGAAAAAATCAAACGCTGCTGGTCTTGGTGAATACCCTCCTTGTCTTGGTCAGCAGCCTGCATGTCGTCGTCCTCATCAGCTTCGCCATCACCACCGGTAGTATACATGTAGGTAGCGGGTCGCTTGGAATCGCCATTGCAGTCTCCAGTGTGTGCCGTGCGGAGAGAAGGGTGATCCACGCTAGCACCCTGACTGTGCTGCAGGCTAATAAGCAGGGCCAAGCCGAGGAAGGCAAGAAACATGAGTCTCATCTTGATTCGTCGCACGGAGCTGCAGCATGTTGAGCCATGGAGGTCGGAGAAACGTGTAAAGTAACGAAATTATGTATAGAATGAAACAAAATGAATTTACCGCTGCCACCAATTTGTAGCGGGCCGCAGTCTCTCGGAGGCAAGAACGCACAAGGGTCTCAGTGAACACACTGTAATTGGCAATTGAAATGTACTGGCAACGAAATTAACTGATTGGCCATGAAATTAACTAACTGGCTATAAAAGAATCGTGAGCAGCAGCTTTGATACAAAGGCAGACTCCGTACGCTAATGTACGGGGATACGCTAACGTATGGGGATACAGTACGGGGACATGCTATACTCTAAACGCTATACGCTTTGAAGTCACCAGCGTGCCAACGTTACACCTTTATAAGATTCCGTACCTGGATTGTCCTCCTCAAGTGCTCACCACGCACCCCTTCCCCCCCCCCCCCCCCCCCACCCGCCCGGTGACTCTAGCTGCTATACCCCGAATCAAAGCCAAACTGCGACAATGTCAGAACCACCAGCTAGATCATAACCTGCTCGCTTCCACTCCGGTCCGGCATTTCAGTGTGTTATCCTATTGTGCCCTTGAAGTCTGTAATGGTCTGCCCTGTGTGCCCTATGTTACACACTCCATCCATCCTGAAGTCCTTGCAGGCTTGCACACATTCAAAACCAAGTCATATGAACACCTTCGAGGAATACGTTGAATGCACTGCTCTGCATTGTGCCTATTTATATTGAGTTTTTGGATGAAGTTTAATATGCCAGTTAGCATCCCCTCACCTCACAACAGAGCAACAGTATGTTGGGTTACGCCGGGAGTGCCGATACGAGCAACTGGTTAAACTATCGAGCATGCGTATGATGGCCCCGCTTGGAGCCGCTAGGTGGCTCGCAGCTGAGCTGCCAACTGACTCCGCATGGAGCCGCCAAATGACTCCGCATGGAGCCGCCAAATGCTAAATATATAGGTATGCGGAAAACCAGTTGAGAGCATATATTCACGTATGAGCCAGAAACGTGAGTTGAGATAGAGGGTGGGAGGGTGGGAACAAAAACGTTCTGCGAGTTACAAGCTCAAAAGTCAACAACAGCAATGATCCTGCAAGAGACCTTGCACGGGATCGTTTTGGGCGCACGCCCGAGAGGTTTGCGCATGCGCGTAAATCGGGCCAGCTCGCTGGGCTGGCTGCTAACTTGCGTTAGCATGCTAACGCTCATTTAGCATCCCCCCACCTCACAACAGAGCAACAGTATGTTGGGTGACGCCGGGAGTGCCGATACGAGCAACTGGATAAACTATCGAGCATGCGTATGATGGCCCCGCTTGGAGCCGCTAGGTGGCTCGCAGCTGAGCCGCCAACTGACTCCGCATGGAGTCGCCAAATGACTCCGCATGGAGCCGCCAAATGCTAAATATATAGGTATGCGGAAAACCAGTTGAGAGCATATATTCCATAAATCGGCACTCCCGGAACGGGCCAGAGAAGTTAGAACAGTTACCCGTGCAGGCTGTAAGCAGCTCAAGCTAGTCAGAATTTGATATCAGGGGCTGAGGCCATTGCCGCAGCCACCCGTGCCTTGGCTGCAGTCGGCGTACGAATGTACCTCAGGCAGGCATCGCTCTTCCATCTGCCCGCCTCTCTGATTACGGAGTCTGGCAGCCCGGCCAGCGCTGCTGTGGTGGCGGCACCTATCCGGAATGAGTGGCCAGCATACAATGCCGAGTCAAAGCCGCAACTGGTGAGCAGCATCCTCACAGTTGCCGTAAATGCCGGTCGTGATAGAGGCTGACCATTACTCAGCACAAACAGGGGCCGGTCCGGGCTGGCCGAGCTGCGAGTTCCCAGCAGGTATTGGAGAAGCGCGGAAACTGCACAATACGGGGGCGATGCTGGGCCTATTGTTATGGTTACCCCTCGGCCAGACGGGTCGGTCTTGGAAGTGCGGAGGAATATGAGTGCTGCCCCCTGCTCGAACTTGACGTCGCGACGACGTACTATGCTGGTAAATTCCGCGCATCTCAGGAACCCATAGAAAGCACTCAGCATGGCTGCAACATAAAGACGTTTATCACTGTCATTCAGGGTAGTGCAGCGATGACAGGCATCAACCAGTTGGTGTACCATATGCACTGTGATTGGCAACCGGGGACGAGTGGCTGAGTTCCCGTGGCAACGGTCTATGCCTTTCAAAACTCGGCCCAGTAGCCAGGTGTCGCCCAGAGGGTCCGCATGGCCCGCTTCTAGGTGTAGGTTGCGTACAGGAGACAGATCCACACGAATAGTACTGGGCTGGACTGACCTGGCTAGGTAGGCTGCAAACATGCTCAGTATAACATCAGTGGCAGGAAATAGTGAGAATTGATTGAGAGAGCAAAATTGTATGTAGCGGCTTTCGCCTGCGTGATAGGTGCGCCGAGTGTTTGGGGCGATAGCCTGTGATGCATAGTAAGCTACATCAGCTGGTGCGGCAGACGGGCCGCGTCTGCCTCCATGCGAGCTGACGGTGCTGCTTTGCGGAAGTCCTGCATGCAGAAACGAGAGAGACGATCGGCGATAGTGTTATTGGCTCCTGGAATATGCTTAGCAGAAACAGTGAAATTGTGCCCAGCGCATACAAAGAACAGCTCCCGCAGCAGAACCATCAGTGCTGGAGATCGGGAGGTGCCGGAAAGGATACACTCCACTACCACCATGTTGTCGCAGTGAATTAATATTCGCAGCTGAGGCCACTCGCTTCCCCAGGTACTGCAGGCTGCCACAACTGCAAACAGCTCTTTCCAGTCGATGCTATGCTCTGCTTGGCTGTCTGTCCACCTGCCCTGTATCCATCGGCCGGAATTGTACGCGCCCCAGCCAATGGCACCACTTGCATCGGTGTATAGTTGCAAGTCCGGGGACGGCGTCCAGTTGGGATGTAAGAAGAACGACCGGCCGTTCCACTGGTCCAAGAGCTTGAGCCACCAACGCAAATCTTCGAGGCACTCTTCAGAGAGCTTAATCCGGTAATAGGGCTGCTGGTACCGGCTGGCAATTGACCACAGTCTGCGCATGAATGTGCGTCCTGGGACTACCACTCTCGCGGCAAACGAGAGCTTTCCCAGAAGAGACTCGAGTTGACGTTGCGAAATTGACACTGAGTGCAGAGTGGCCCGTAGGAGGTCCCGAAGCTCGGAAAGTTTGTCCATAGGCAGGCGGGCTTCGAGGCGGCGGGTGTCAAGAATAATGCCGAGAAAAGTCAGGACTTGAGCTGGACCCTCCACTTTTGCTGGGGCCAGGGGTACGCTGAGGTATGTGAAAGCACGCAGCAGAATAGCGAGTTGCTGGTGGGCTACTACAGATCCAGAGCATGCATTGAGAAAGTCGTCGAGATAGTGCAACAGGTGTGGGATAGCGAACTGCTCTTGCATTATCCATTCTATGGCGGATGCGACAGAGTCAAATATGGCAGGGCTTGAGCGTAGTCCGAAGGGGAGAACGCGCTCGTAGAAGTATTGACCCTGCCAGCGGATGCCCAACAGGGGCCAATCCTCCGGGCGGACAGGAATTTGGCGGAATGCACTTTTGACATCGAGCTTAGCAAGATATACTGGGGCAGGCAATTGCATGATAAGATTAACAGCATCGTCAATAGTGACATAATGGAGAGAAAAGGGGTCTGCTGGGATACAATCATTGACACTCTGACCCTCCGGGCTGGACAAATGGTGTATCATTCGTAATTTCCCGTTCTTCTTGGGAACCGCGCCTATCCCAGAGCAGCGCATAAATGGAAAAGGGGGTGAAGGAAAGGGGCCAGCTGTTTCATGCCTGCTGCAGGAAGCGTGAAGTTGTGCAGAAATAAAGTCAGGGTTTGCATGTGCAGAGGGTAAATTCTGTGAATCACAGTTAGTGGAGCGGTTGCCAGTGAAACCTACATCAAAGCCACATCTGAGCCCATGTACAACATACTTCACGAAAGTAGGATTAGGGTGTGAGGCTAGCAAACTTGAAAAACGGGAAACTGAGAGTGGTGTATGACTAATGGTGTTGCTAGTGCCTATGCAGGTGCATCTGATAGCCAGGGGTACGCTGAGGTATGTGAAAGCACGCAGCAGAATAGCGAGTTGCTGGTGGGCTACTACAGATCCAGAGCATGCATTGAGAAAGTCGTCGAGATAGTGCAACAGGTGTGGGATAGCGAACTGCTCTTGCATTATCCATTCTATGGCGGATGCGACAGAGTCAAATATGGCAGGGCTTGAGCGTAGTCCGAAGGGGAGAACGCGCTCGTAGAAGTATTGACCCTGCCAGCGGATGCCCAACAGGGGCCAATCCTCCGGGCGGACAGGAATTTGGCGGAATGCACTTTTGACATCGAGCTTAGCAAGATATACTGGGGCAGGCAATTGCATGATAAGATTAACAGCATCGTCAATAGTGACATAATGGAGAGAAAAGGGGTCTGCTGGGATACAATCATTGACACTCTGACCCTCCGGGCTGGACAAATGGTGTATCATTCGTAATTTCCCGTTCTTCTTGGGAACCGCGCCTATCCCAGAGCAGCGCATAAATGGAAAAGGGGGTGAAGGAAAGGGGCCAGCTGTTTCATGCCTGCTGCAGGAAGCGTGAAGTTGTGCAGAAATAAAGTCAGGGTTTGCATGTGCAGAGGGTAAATTCTGTGAATCACAGTTAGTGGAGCGGTTGCCAGTGAAACCTACATCAAAGCCACATCTGAGCCCATGTACAACATACTTCACGAAAGTAGGATTAGGGTGTGAGGCTAGCAAACTTGAAAAACGGGAAACTGAGAGTGGTGTATGACTAATGGTGTTGCTAGTGCCTATGCAGGTGCATCTGATAGAGTCAGTAGTGGTGCTTACGCAGGGTGTACATGGTGTATGAGTGATGCTAGTGCTTGTACGACTACCATAACTGGGGACCGAGTCGACACGTGTGCTTACACAGTTACTCTCTGGGTCGCGTGCATAGAGCCCTGGGGTGCTCCTTTCGGCACCGGAGGCAGATGTGAGCGAAGCGGCACTGCTTGAACTGGCACTTTCCAGCGTTGTAGTTGCGGCATATGGGCTGACTAGTTGCTGCATTCTTGGACGCGAATCCATTGGTGGACTGGCGGTTGGCCCGAAAAGGGCACGGAAATGCTGGGGGGTGCACGAGGCTGCATTGCTGGCAGGCGGGTCGTGCCTTTCCGGTGAAGCAGAGCTGCCACAGGTTGATGTCGATGGCATCTAGTTTCTTGCCGTATTGCGAAGCAGTGGCCGAGCGGAGCTGACGGTCGTACGAAAGCCATGCTTCGGGTAGAAACTGACGATTGGCTGCGGCAATCGTGGCCTGGTACGATAGGCACTCATGGAGACGGTGAGGAGCAGCAGAGCACAAACCATTCATGTATAGGGTCCAGGCCTCGACCCATGTGCTAAAATCATGCACTCTACGACGGACAGTTCTGGGCTCAGATTCAACCAGTTCTAGTGCGCCGGATGAGCTGCCGGATGCACGGAGTTGGAATGCCATCGGCATCTGAGCCGCACTAGAACTGGCTGTGATTGTGTCTGGGAGCAAACAATCAAATTCCACGAACTCACCTCTCTGTATGCGGTCGAGGAGAGCCCGTGGTAGCGTCAGGTTCACCTGGTGGGGCTGCTCGTGCTGTATGCTGTTCGTTGCTGTGTTCACAGCAGGGTTGCTGGCGGCAGGCGGCGGTGCTGAGCCAGGCAAGACGAGGAGAGGCTGGACAGCATTGGCGACAGCAGTAGACACAGCCCGTTGAACCTCCTCGGTGATCATGGCCTGCATCGTGGGGGTATCCGCGCTGTCCAGAGCTAGGCTGGGGCTGGTGGCTGCGCGGACAGGGGTGGACGTGCGAGCAGCAGTGCGAGATCTTTTCTTAACGCCAGACGAAGTTGCAGCGGCCGGAGGCTCGACAGTTGCAGGGGCATTGGCCCCGCTGCGGCGTTTCCCGCGAGTATCCATGGCTCTAAATGCCAGCACGCGGAAAGGAAATCGGTAATCGCAACAAAACGTTGAAAGGGAAACGACAACAAAAACGTTCTGCGAGTTGAACAAAAACGTTCTGCGACTTACAAGCTCAAAAGTCAACAACAGCAATGATCCTGCAAGAGACCTTGCACGGGATCGTTTTGGGCGCACGCCCGAGAGGTTTGCGCATGCGCGTAAATCGGGCCAGCTTGCTGGGCTGGCTACTAACTTGCGTTAGCATGCTAACTTGCGTTAGCATGCTAACGCTCATTATTTTTTCTGATGGGATGGCCTCAAAAACGTTCAAGGAATTTACCGGTACATGTAAATGACAAGTAGTTTTTTGCTCGTGGTTTTTGTAACGAGTGCGCAACTTGCCGTATCCATTTCGTTAATAGAGAGGTTCCGGAGGACGATTTTTCGTGCCAAAATCCGAAGACTCGCTACCGATTTTTCAAACGTCGTTTTCGAGCGTCGTTTACGAGCAGTGAAATGTTCAGGAGTACGGAACTTATGTGTTTGCCGTCATTACTTAGGTTACGATCCCAAACACGTCACACTCCGGCGCTATGCCTTTTTTTTTAATTTGTACCGAATTCAAAACTTCTCGTGGAAAATCGATGTTTCTCGAGCCAAATCTGTACGGGAAAAATCTTTCTGCACCCGATGACGCAAAATCTCCTCTCGAGACATGGTTCGTATGAAAGCCAGTCCACACGGATTTTCCGTGCTGAAAATTCGTATGGAGCACGCCTCGAAAACATCCGTAGCGCCCATACGGATTTTGGCACAGAAAATCATACCCGGAAACTCTCTAATATCATTCTTATCTTCACCGAAAACCAAAAAAAACATAGTGAGGTGTATGATTTGGTGAGTGCAAAACAAAATTTTAATGTTGACTTCCTGTCAGAATACTACAACCACATACATAAGGTTAACAGGCATAGTGGTGGCCTGCGAAGGCTAGTCCGTGTGTTTCTGAACATTCAAGTGAAGCCGACGCAGATCCCGCGAATATTATTATTTACAAACATGTACATACGCGTGATGGAGACGAAAGACTAGCACTTTCTACGTGAGAGGAAGAATTTCCCCAATCAGGATCAGGACAAACCAAGCATGCAGAGATTGTACCAAACCCATGCATTACTGGTTGACATTTTTATAAAATAAAACCCTCTCAAAACGTCCTTACCTCATTTCTATTTGATTTCCAACCCGTCATCTTGATCGCGTATCACTCTGCATACAGAAGCTAATTTCTAATCTCTACAGTGAAAAATCCCTGATTCGGCTTGTCCTACACCTACAGGGCATTCGCGCGCTTGGATGTTTTCAACTACAGCACCGTCTGTTCTTCCATCCAGTTGGAGCTCCGAATTCCTTTTCGTGGCTTCGTTTTCCACAACTAATACGGTAATACCAAGAGTACTCTTGATAATACTCGCCTTGCAGTTTTGGCAGAGAAATCACCCGTATTTAGATCTACGCAGGGCTGATTTATGGTGCGTAACTTGATCTTGAGCTATTGCACCGTAGGCGCTAGTCCCGCGGGCTACGGTTCATGACCTCGGGCTATCACACTCGGGATTTTTTGGGCTGCAATCTGTGTGATGTGCCTTCCTGGCCTGGGGCCAATCCGTGCGCCAAATAGGCCTTATGCACGTTGTACAGATGCACGAAATCCCGTAGAATCCCGTAGACCCGGTTGGGTGTTGAATGTGCAGGACCCTATTGTGTTTATTGCTATTTCCACAGCGAAATGGGCCCTGAAGGCATTTCATACGAACACTTTTTCGACAGTGATCTAGCGAGTCGTTAGTTCAATCCCAAAGTGAAGAAGCTGGAAAAGTGATTGTTCGCCGCGAATTATGAGGCTAAATGGGTCAAACACGCATGTATAGCACACATTGAACACCCAACCGGGTATGTACACACCTACGGCTCTAGTACAGAACTTCGTACATCTGTACAATGTGCATAAGGCCTAATAGGCTAAAGTCGAAGTTGCACTTTTATTTGCAACCGCGGGAAATTTGAGAGGTCTGGAGAAGAAAATTCTCAATGGGACTCAAAATTGACAAACAAGACGATGGCCAGCGCTCGAGCATAGTACCTTTTCGCCATTCCTTCGTGCATGATACCCATTCTAATTGATAAACACTACCCTCATGTTTCGTTTCATGCACAACGGACGAAGCGAAGTGTCTTTTTTTGTCCACGAAAGAAAGGTAAGGAAATTGTAGTCTTCACGACACCCTTCGGATTATTTAGTGGGGTATTGTGGGCCAAGGTTTTTTTTTCTTTACAAATGTCCCCAGGTACTGAGACGGCGCTGATATCCTAGGAGTTCTGTTGGGGCAAAATGCCAGGTTACTGACTTATGGCGATGTTTGTCCACCCTAAAATATGGGAGATTTCTTGG